ATCCCCACACTGTCGGCCCATGTTCATCTTGGCATCAATGATGACTCCAAGATCCTTTTCTGCCTCTGCACTGATGAGAAGGGAGTTCCCCAGCCTGTAGGTATGGTGCTGGTTCTTCCTCCCCAGGTGCAACACTTTGCACTTGTCAGTGTTGAAACCCATCCTGTTCTCATCCGCCCACCCCTGTAACCTGGCTAGGTCTGATTGCAGCCTATTCCTCCCATCTAGCATGCCCACGTCCCCTCAAATCTTAGTGTCATCAGCAAATTTGAACAGGGTGCTTTTTACTCCCTTGTCCAGGTCACGGGTGAAGATGTTGAACAGCGCGGGCCCGAGGACTGAGCCCTGCAGAACCCCACTGCCCACATCCCTCCAGGTCGAAAATCCCCCCAGGACCCCAGGCTGCCCTACCCCATGCAGGGTAACTTGCTAGGTGCCACAGGGTGTGTGACACAGGTGTTACCTGGGGACAACTAGCAGCAACATAAGGTGTATACTGCTAGCTGTCCCCGGGGAACCAAATGTCCACACTTGTGTGGATGCAGCTTGTGCACTGAAATGATAGGGGAGCATCATTCCTTTTCATTCTGACTGCAGTTCTGCAGTGTCTGAGCTCTTGGTAAGATGGTTTTACCATATTAAGGACAACTAGATTTATAATAATAAATACTAGTGCATCTTGGTTCAGTGAATGAAAAGAAATGGCATATTGCATACGGTAGGTGAGAGCATCCCTGCCGGCATTCTGGATGCTCACTATGTACAAAGAGCTGGATGCCTAACTTGAATTGATTGGATTACATATATACACCCCACAGGGAGTCCTCCCTGCTGATCTGCCTTGCTGAGTTTGGCACCAGGTGGGTTTGTAGAGACTGGGCATTGTGAGAAGGGGATGGGCATGGAATCATTTTCTCACAGGCCACAGAGCAGTTTCAGAGCCATTATCCCTCCCATTCCTGCTGGCAAGGACTGACAAAGTGCAGTGGCTCTATCTGGTGGTGACTCCCCACACCCTTCAGAATAGAGCTGCAGTTACAAATTGCCCATAATAAAAAGGTATTTGGCTCCTAGCAGTTACTTATGACTACCGCTCATAGGGTAAGTTTAGGTCTTTTATAACATGTTTAGGTTTGAGTTTAACATTTTCATCCCATTCCTCCTGTGAGTATGCCTGTGATGAGCAATTCCACAGGATTCTGCTACAGCCAAAGCAGGAAGTGTAAAATAACAACAAGACTACTGAAAACACAGCAATAGCAGCTGAATATAAATTTAGCCCAAGATGCTCAGCACACAGAAGATAATGAGGAAAAGTAAGAGTGGTAAAATCCATGAGCACATGCTATACTGTGAAGTCAGAGACTTTCAAGATATACCAGGATGCTGGAAGCCTTGCATATAAAGGTGCCAAATGTGTTGATACCTTTACTTAAGTCTTGTGCTTTGGCAGGATTTCTCTACAAGTGTGCAGTATGTTTCAACTTAGTAGTTGTAAGGGCAGAGCAAGAGGAGTTCTCCCTCTGTCAAGATACTAAAAAGATCTGCTTGTTTTCTAACATTCCCACCCCACCCCTCCACGCCGCAATAAGTCTGAGGCTTACCTGGAAGGCAAAGTTGTCAATTCCATCTGCTTCAGAAAGAGCTGTCTTGTTTTCCTTCAGCTCCATGTGTGTGGCTTGGACCGGAGTGCTTTAGCTGGCTGAGGCACAGGGCAGCTGCGGCAGCATTTAGTTAATCCATTTACAGTAACTGTGTCTATTACTTGAAGTTTACCTGGTTGTAACCACTCCCTTGTAGCTCTTATGTCATTCATGGCTCCACCTTCTAGGTCTCTTGAAGAATTCCAAAGCCCATTACAATGAAAATGGAGGATTCCTGCAGGCAACAAGAGGAAAATGGTTGAGTGATCCAAAAGGAAAGTATGTCTTTTTGCATTCATTCTCTCACCGGGAGAAAGTGTGCAGTGCATGAAAGTATGCAGTGATTTTGCTTGAGGTACACGGCAGTCCTCCTCATCTGGAGCTTTGAGAAACATCTTCTGTGGGGCTTTTCTAAAAATGTCAATCCAAACATAGGGGGAAAAAAATGTCACAACTGAGTTATATTGAAATGAATGACTAATAAAAAAATATTCAAAAGAGGCAGAGATTGGCAATATTTCAAGCTTGATTTAAAAAAAAAAAATCAATCAAATCGAGCACGAGGCCATATGAAGCAATCATTGTGCAGTTAGTTGCACATCTTGTTACATGTGCTGCTAATGCAGTTACACTGACAAACTGATATCTGTGCATGCAAGTATCCAGTTAAACAATTTGTTTAATATAGCTTCTGTAGCTGAATTAACCCCTCCATATAAATTCATCTCATTTTTCTAAATTTCCTGTAAGACACAGTCCTAATTTCACTTACACTGAAGTTTTACCACTATCACTTCTTTGAAAACAGCAGGAAGTACTGATTTATACCAGCCTGAGATTACAGTTTGGCCTATAATGCTAGTTCTCCAAATATCACAGGGCTGTAGGATGCTCAGCTCCTTTGAAAAAAATCAGGCATACCTATTTAGTGCTAAAATTGGTGGGGTTTGGTGTTTTTAGTTTTCATGTTGAATGGAAAAAACAGGACAGCTTATAGAACAGGAGAACAATACAATTTAAAAGGCAACTGGAGTATCAACACAAAACAACCCCCCCCACACCCACCCAAATGATTGTCTGTTAAATGCCTGCTGGAATAGGAAGATGTCCAGGCTCAAGAAGGAAGGAATTCCAGAGCTGAAGAGCAACTGCTGATAATGACCTGCCAAATGTTTTCAGGAAGCAGACAAAACATTGATCAAACAAAGCATACAGGACAAGTTTGATGCTTAAGAGACAACATCCGCTCCACCCTCAAAACACTGCTTTATATATAGTAGAGGTCGGGCACTTATATAATGTTGCATGATTCTTTGCATAAGTGTTACTGCTATATAGGACAAATTGTGGCCTGAATTGAACACAGTAAGGGCCACAGTAAATTAAGCACTGAAGAATGATAATGATTTCTAAAATGAAAGGATGGATTTTTGGCAGGCAAGGTTCTTTGGGTAGGTGTGATTTTTTTATTAGATCAACTAAATAGTTGGAAAAAAGTTCTTTGCACATTTTTTTTGTTTTCATTTTTAAGCCCTACTCTTTAAAATCTGCATTTTTATCTGTTACAGTTTGCCTTGTAAATGGAACAATTGTTTTTGGCCATCTGAATGAAAGCCCATATTTGCAATGTGTGTACTATCAAGGAATAAAGAACAGACTGTGTAACAAAACATTGCTGTATATTGACATAATTGCTGGGCCAATGGCTGCCTTCTTATCTGCCTTTCTCCTCCATAAAAAGAGACTATGATGTACATAAATACCCAAATACTTCCAGAGGGGACAAACTAAAAGAAGAAATCTAACAAGTCACTGTGCAGTCTAATATCACTGATGCTAATATCTTTTCCCTGAATACTGGGGTTAAGCTGAAAGGAAATTTTATGGTGGCAATTATTTGCTGCTGTTCTCTCATCCTCCAACAGCTTCTCTTAAATTTCTTCGGGGAACCTCAAACCTTTTCTGACACTTGTCAATTGCCTAATCAGGGACACCAGAAAATGCCAACTGATAGAAACCTGCTAGATATGTTCATGGGCTTAATGAAAAGAATCTCATTTCTGGATGGTATTTTCTTCTAGTACTAGCAAACCCATGAATCTCTCTCTCTCTTTCTTCGGTGTGAAATGATCTAGTCCCACTTCTTTTCTCCATGAACAAAGGCCCACATTAGACAAAACACACACGTACGAAATTTGTGGGAAGTTTTGATGGCAAATGTCAGCCAAGAGACCAAGAACTAAACCATTATGTGTACTTATGCATCTCCAACTGATTTTCTTTCACAAATCAGCTTAAATCCTTATGACAAACTCTGGATGGGGCATGACAGTGACAGAAGCTTTTCTCCTCCACAGCCACTGCATCTACCAAAGTGTCATCCACTGAAACTGTTTTGAAACTGGGGTGAATAGCTTAATTAATCTGGGATGCCTCCGCCCTGAAACCAAGTCTCAGTCTGCTGTGACAAGTTTGCCACCTAATTTGCAGGCAAAGTCATCCATATCAAAGAGGGCTTGGGGACTCTGCACAAAAATACTGAAGAAGCTTGGTCTTCTCCTGTTTATGTGGATCATTTGAAATTGCTGTGACCCACCAGTGTGGAAGACATGGTCGGGGAGAGGGAGCTGATGAGGGTGATCAGTTGTGAACTGGACCTATGCTTATCAAGTCAGCTGGGAGAGACTGGGGCTACTGTTGCTGGGGGTTATCAATGCCTTTCTTGGGGAGGGAAGTGTGCTGGGCATTCTTAAGTCTGTGACTGTCTGAATCCTACTCAAGAAATCATTGTTTGATGCTGACTCTCCAGGTAATTATCATTGTCTCCAACCTCCTGTCTTGGGGAAGGTCACTGAACACAGGGTAACCCAATAGCTCCAGGGATCAGATTCCTAGACCCTCCTCAGCCTGGTTTTCATCTTGGATATAGTATAGAGATTGTGCTTATAGTTATAGTTGATGATCTTTGCCTGGATGTCAACAAGGGCAATTGTGTCCTGCTGATTTTACTACATCTTTCAGCAGGCCACGAGGTGCAGATAAAGTTCTTACAGGACATGGTGGGTATTCCTGGGGCCACTCTAAATTGGTTCTGCTCTTTCCTAGCAGGGATGTCCAAGATGATGGTGATGGGTGAGTGCTTGTCAACTCCTTGGGACCTTTCCTGTTGGAATCCCCAGGGGTCCATCTTGTTGCCACTCCAGTTCAACATGTATATGAGATCTCTGGATGAGACTGTACAGAGATACCATCCATATGCTGATGAGACACCGTTCTACCTTTTCCCTCTGACCTTGGCTGTACAGTCTGTCCTTTCCCAGTGCTTGGCTACAGTTGGGATTTGGAGGCAGGTGAACCAATTGAAATGGAATCCAGATAAGACCGAGGTGATGACAGTGGGCAGACAGCTTGCTTTGTGTGAGGTAGGACTTTTTGGTAAACCTATTATTGATGGGGTTCAGAATCCCCTTGTCACTTAGGTTTTCAACCTCGGAGTGCTCCTGGATCCTCTGCTGCATATCTGTGTCTTCAGCTGGCAGCAGTGGCGGGGAGTGCCTTTTATCTGGTGAAAAGGCTGTAACCTTTTCTTTCAGATTCAGATCTGTCCACCATCATCTATGCCTTCCTCACCTCCACGCTAAACTAATGCAGTGTGCTCTACATGGAGCTCTCCTTGAAGACTATGCAGCAGTTGCAGCTGGTACAGAATTCAATGGCCCACCTTCTTACAGGGATGAGTGGCCAGGAGCATATGATTCCATATGAGTCTGCATTGGCTCCCAGTAGCTTTCCAGGTTAAATTCAAGATGCTGGTCTAAGCCCTACCCAAGGGACAGATTCTCTCATGGTTAGGGACCTACCAATATCATGGTGGAAGTTTG